ACAAGAACCTCTCCTGCTTGTGGGATGCGCAAAGCTCGATACACAAGACGCGCCTCTGTCAAGGCAGTTGTATGACAGCCTTGTATCCTTCGGATGTAAGTGAAGATTCTGCCTATGAGCTAATACGCACCTGTCTAGATGATAAGGATGCAGACGAACGTTTGACGTGTGCCGGCGGTAGCGATGCACTTTGTAAGAGCTGTACGGGCAACAAATGTAACACCGACATAATACCAACGGATCGACGCAGCTGTTATCAATGTGAAGGTGATGATTGTGAAGAGCCACAAGTGCAAGTATGTCCATTGTACAAGAGTGACGACCAGTGCTTCATTTGGTATGACGAAACGAACAGCGTCAGTCAAATGGGTTGTCTCAGTTCATTCCGCAACCAAGAATTGGAAACCATTATCAGTACAAAGCGCATTTATTTGTGTGATGGAGAGGCGTGCAATTCGCTAGACGCAGCACCCACACCGCAGACGTGTGCTGTGTGCAACTCGACCGAGGACTTTACGTGCGCCACCAATCCGCAAGAGATTGGCACATTTAATACCTGCTCGCAGTATCCATACACCAGCTGCTATACGAAATTGGTCAGCACAGGTAAGTGAATGAACAGCGACAAAATGTTGAGAAAGTAATCTATGAAAGAAGTTTATGAAAAGCTGCCTTGAATCTCTAAAACATCTTGGCATTCTTAGGCGAATCACTATGCGCATTGGTAATTAAAAAAATAGTGCTGAGGTCATTCCACCTCGTCCCTTTCCAGGCAACTGCGACACACGAGATCAGGTAATATGTGAAGCCTTACTAGGTGTATACCGATTGGACAGTGAACCGCTAAACCAACAACAAGAGTGAGAGCTGTGACTTTGTATGTGTGAGGAGTTTCCCCGACTGCCCCTTGTTGACCTTCGGCCAGAAGAGCCTAGCTATGGCGCAAGACCCGGTTTTCGCCCAGCGCTCGCTGAGAAGACAATAGTGTACCAAAAGTGGTAAATAACACCTCTAGTCGCTGCTTATCCGGTTATAACATTTCAAGGGTACCTTTCCCAGCCAATTCGTCAGCATCAGTTCCCCGTTATGGCGCTATAGCCCGGAACCCTAATAAGCCTAATACAGAAGTACATATTCCGGCACAACTGAAAGAGACATTCCTCAACTAAATTGGCTTGGCTTTCAAATTAAATGCTCATCTACCCAAGTGTCATCGCATACTTGAGCATTGAATCCATTGCTTCCTTACACTACAGCAGCCTGAATTTAGTGTTTATGGTCAGCTCTCGACTGAAGACCCCTCTACCAACCCTGCTGTCCAGTCAGCGTCAGGGACTTTATACTTTCTACTGAATAGGGAATGACACAAAAATTTATCCGTCGAAGTTGTCACACGACATAGTCTGTAATCGAAGCTGCCTCCGCCTATCCAATAGATCTCTAATAATAAAGTTGTCCTTACAGCTTAAAATCGTTTAGGTTAAAAAAAGCTCGAACTATCCTCTCTACCTCTAAATTTACCATTCATGTTTTGACTAAGCCGCAAGATTAATAAAATGTACTTTCATATTCCTACAGATGGTTCCACTACACGCGGCTGTTTATCGGACCTAGATACCACAGACTTTGTCGGCTGTGTGCTGGGTACTGATAC